ATTATATGAGATAATATTTTGGCCCCCTGCAACGTGCTTTTAGTTCATCTTGTACAATTTTTGTAGCAACCTATAAATTCCATAGTTCACATAATCATAGAATTAAAGGGACAGTTCACCCTATAATAAAAAAACACATATTTTCCCTCTTACCTGTAGTGCTATTTATCAAACTAGATTGTTTTGGTGTGAGTTGCTGAGTATTGAATATATCACAGCCATAGAGATGTCTGCCTCTGCCTCGAATATAATGGAACTGGATGGCTCTGAGCTTGTGCTGTTGAACACACCAAAAAAACTACATTTGAAAAACTCAACAGCAATGTCTCTTTCTAGAAATCATGACCTGGTTACTCAAGATAATCCACAGACCTTGTTGTGAGCAGTTTCATGTAGGAACTATTTTCTTTCTACTGAACTACACCCGCCAACTGTCAATCAGTCACTGCGCAGAAGGAAGCGTGCATCAGTTCATGGATGAGAGGCTCTTGTTTGTGACAGCGCAAGATGTAAACATTAATGGTGTCATCCTTGGCAGTGCTGTAGCACTTGCTAGCTCAGTGGTGCACCACAAGCTGAGTGCCATCTAGTTCCATTATACTGGAGAGAAGGCAGACATCTCTACGGCTGATATCTCCAACACTCAGCAACTCACACGAAAACAATCTAGACTGATAAACAGCACCACATGTTAGATGATATAATTTTGTGTGAGCTGTCCCTTTAAGTAGACATAATATTAATGTCTTTGGTGGGCAATAGGCCAATGTTTCCAAAGTGGGCAGCGAATAATTACTGAATAAGGAGCAGGAAAAACACTGTAAAACAAAAAATGTTTTCTTCTTGATCTACCTGTTGCTGCATCTTGATTATAGCTTAATACGTGTCCATCTTGTGTCTGCATGCAGCAAAGTTACCTCTTGTAATGAAAGATGTAATTAATTAATTGCTTTGACAAAGAGTATTGTGTGTCTGTGGTGATGGAAGCTAAACTGATAAAAGATTTTAATTGCAACTCGTGAATTACATTATCTATCTACGTACTCTTTCTTTCTCCTTGCAGGACTCTGTAATGAATAACTGGACTGTACTGCATAAGCACACCCGGAGGACTGGCTTATGTGTTGGTCTAATCCCTCTGTTTGAGACTGTGGCTTCTGAGACACGGAGGTACCGACAGGGGAGGAGCAGTACTGAGAAACACTGTCCTGCAGCAGACAACCCCAAAAGGATCATCTTGTCTTTCATGTGCATTTTAACCTACACTCATCTGTATTATAGGCTTCTAATCTGACTTTAGACAAACTGTCTTTATGCAATAATTTAAACCCAGAAATCACTACTTGTGCTGCTGTTTGCATCACACTGTACACCACCAGTTCGAGGCATTACACCAACAGTTACCTGGCTCAGCTGTTTAATCTTGTCTGTAGTCACACATGTTAAGAGGTGCAGTTTTTGTAAATGATATATGTAAATATGGACCCAAACATGTTGAGATGATTATGTCCTCCCAGATTAGTGCCGCGTCTGATGGTAATTTGTATAAGTTTGTGGGTTTCAGGACAGCTTCGACAGTGTCTCTCAGTAAGACGATCACACATCTGAATTTTACCATAAGCGCCTCATTTGTCTGTTGATTGTACAGGACATTACATGACAATAAAGCAGCCAGTCTTTTTCATATCTAAATACACCTGTGACTGTTCTTTGGGCATTTAATTTTGAACTTGACATCATTAACACCTGTGAATGGGTAACAGATTTTGATGAAAAAAGTTGGATATTCGTTTGAGTCCGGGGGATTTATTGGATCAAATGTTTCACTCTGGTGGATTTAAAGCATTATTTCTGAAGCAACATGCTGTATTGCATTTGGCCAGAAACCAGTTTCTGCACTATATGATTGAATCAAGCAGCAATACTTGGAGAAATACTTTGTTGCCACTTTATTAGGTACACCTAACTATACCTAACACAGAAATCCTGCCATGAATCCTAATTTCAGGAAGGTCATAATGTTCAGTTTTTGAGAGGTATCGATTCAACTGTATGATCCTTTTGGAAGCTGCAGTTTGTGCTGCTGTTGAATCATATTGAGCTATTATGAGGGGGGTTCATAATATTTAGCCTGATATCAACAGTTAGAGATACAAGCACCACAAACAATGGCCTCCAAAATAACCTGCTCCAACCAGAACTAAACATCTAGGAAAACAGACCCCTCAATACTAAATGTAACCATGGAAATTATGATATACATTTATATCATATCATGATTATCATGATGTAATGTTATTTCACCCTGCGTCTTTTCACTGTAGCTGAGTTTTTTTAGGAGATGTCAGCTCATTTAAACCAAAGCAACAGTCCCTTTTCAGTTTGTTTTATTTGTTAAATTAAACAGTCATTTATAAGAAAATGATGAGAAGTAAAATCATTCTGGGAAATTATGGAAATTTTGAAATAAAAACAGCTGGAATTAATTACAGTCTTATTTCAAAAAGAAATGGCATAAAATGACATTTCATTATAATAAGCTGAGTTTTAAACATTTCCTGGAATATTTCTCAATGTCATGGGTATATTACATACCCTATGTGTATTTATCCATGTGGTTATCAATTTCAAAATGTATTATTAAACACTGTGGGGCTCCACACATTAAGAGAGGATGTTTTGCAGGCAAGGATTTTTATTATACTGCATTAATCCCTGGTAGTTGTAGCCCACACAGAGAGAATGGATGGTTTATGGATAATAAACACCTGAGTGTAAAAGAGAACATGTGCAGCTCATGGCACAGAATCAGGACTTGTTTACTTTCTCACATTACTGTGTGTCACATGGACTGCTGTGGTGAGGGTATCAGCAAGATGGAGCCCGCATTGCAGATGAGTGAGTCTTCAACTGTTGTGATTTTTGTGGCCCTGTCAGCAAAGAAAAAGAAAAATTCTTGTCCTTAATTATTGTCACACTTGCTTAACACCAAAAGAATAATAAAAATGAATAAAGAACAGATCAGTCATTACTTAAATCCTCCTGAGACCCTGTGTCCTCATATGAGGACATCGCATTTAGGGTTTACTTAGTCTGAGTGGGCGGAAGTTCGCTGCATAGATCAGCCTCTCATTGGGCGGAACGAGCCACCCGCTGAAGTCCCGCCCTACCACCTCTGGTTGTCATAGTCGACAAACGTCCTTTACTAACTTTTGCAGTGTTTGATCTTGCGGGGATGTAGCCATTTTTCTGCCATGGTTCGCCCAGAACGATTGTGATTGGCTGAAAGAAATACAAGCAGCCGGGGAGTTTTTTTCTCCAATCTTAAAGTGAGAGTCGGCCCAGCCACTCTGGTGAGCGAGACTAGGGTTTACTTGACCTTATACTTCATTCTACTTAACTTAGACCTGTTGTCCTCATTTGTGGACACCTTTTTGTGCCATCTAGTGGTAGTAAGAGCACAATACACTAATCCATGTAAAAACAAGATGGCAGCCATCTCTGCCAAGTCAGTCTGCAGCCAATCCCAACATAAAAGTGAACAAGGTCCAAAACCTGTTTATTTATGACTAATAATGTTTGTAGTTTGATATGGCCTATTCTAGCAGCTGTAACAAGCTAAGACACTGTTAATTAGGAAGTACTTGTTTGAAGACATTAGGACTTTATTATCATCTTGTTTGAGGATATTGGGACTTTATTATCATTGACAACTTTTAGTTTTTATACTTACACGGTCCTACTGATCCTGTATAGCTTGGAGAAAAAAGCATGCCAAACAAAAGTTCGGGTCTCAGGAGGTTATGATGTAAAGTGGCCTTTATTGTGTGGTGTTCGCTATATCTTCTTTGGACATTCAACCCTGCTTAATTTTGAATTTCATATTGATCTAATATTATTTTCAAATACTATTATGACACATAAATACCAATTTTAATGACATGACACACACACAGACACACACACACCAAAAATCACCTGTCCCTTTGGGTTATTGTTATTTCCACCACACTGTTCAAAATGTGGCGGCACAGTGGTGTGGTGGTTAGCACTATCGCCTCACAGGAGGGTTCCTGGTTCAATCCCAGGTGGGGAGTCCTTCCGTGCAGAGTTTGCATGTTCTCCCCATGTCAGCGTGGGTTTTCTCCGGGTACCGTCCAGAGATTGGGGATAGGTTAATTGGTGACTCTAAATTGTCCGTAGGTGTGAATGGTTTTCTGTCTCTACATGTCAGCAATGCAATACTCTGGTGACCTGTCCAGGGTGTACCCCGCCTCTCGCCCAGTGTCAGCTGGGATAGGCTCCAGCCCCCCCTGCAGCGCTCAAGAGGATAAGCAGCTAGAAAATGGATGGATGTTCAAAATGTAAAAGTTTCAGGAAGTTGTGGGAATTTGTTGAGAGTTTGTATGGGCCTACTTGGTGACTACAGCAATAGTCATGTGACAGGAGGCCCCATGATTGGAGGACAGTTAGCATAGTGGCAACTGTAATAAGTAGAGAGGTACATTTTTGTTAAATCAAGAATATGTTTCCAAACAGCTTATATTCATTTTCAGTGTACAAATAGTAAGAAAAACATTTGATATTGTGTATTTTGTGTATATTTAATGCTAATGCTAATGCTAAAAAGAACGTTAGCAAGCTGACGCATCACCAGGCTAAATGTAATTTCCACAACAGTCATATTTGTCACTTTGTTCATCGTGATGGAAAACTGAAATGACAATGCCAGTGTTATTTTAATGAAATCATTGTATTAATACATTTCTTTAAATATGTTAGACTTTCTAAAAGTTTCCAAAATCTGATACTTAAATTTAGAAAAATAAATCCCCATACAGTTTTCATAATGTGCCATAAAGGAGACACGTTAAATTGAAATATATTGGCTTGTTAACGGAACAGAAATAAGACAGGCACTGTAATGTGAAACCAGGTGGGGGCGTGGCTTCACGTGCACAATCAAGGTTTTGACTCAGCACAGGTGAGACACTCACGCGCCCTGCTGACACACACAGAGGATTCAGTCACTGCTGTCCAAGACACCGAGGACATTTCTTCGCCTCTGTTTTTATGTTCTGGGTTTTTGACTCAAAAAACAACATTAAAAAGATTTTCATGTCCTCTTAAATCCGTCAGCTACTCCACTGTCGCCCTGTTTTTATAAAATGACGTGGCCGGATGGATTTAGTAGATTAAATGCAGTTTTTCTCGTCATTTTACTGAGCTTTACTTTTCAAGGTAAGATTAAAACCGAATTGTTAGTTTTGTGTTGTGCTTCTTCCTTAAGAGCAGGAAAGGGGCTTTTAATTAATTCTGTTTTGTTTCTGTAATATTAGTGCTTATTTTAGCAGGAACAGACACAGTGTAAGCATAGGATATTCACTTGCCATCAACATTTACTGCATCATTGTAACAAGGATTTTGAGTATCAATAGATTAATATGTCCTCTGTAAACTGATTACTTCTTCACTGACAGGTGCCTACTTTGAGCTGGTGGTGTCTCCTGTTGGCCCGACTGTTGTGAATGCACCACTTGGCAGCAATGTGACTCTGGCTGTGTCCTTCAGTGGTGCCTCTGACCCAGTGGTTGCCTGGTTTATGGGAAGGTTACCTGTCGCCACATGGGTTATTAACTCCAGTGCTCCTCCATTCATAGCCGAAAACAATAGGGGGGTGCTGGATATTGAGCCAGATGGATCCCTTACCTTTGTGAATGTGACACTTGACTATACCAGTGAGTACACCGTTGAAATGACAAAGTCTGGACTGCCAACATCCTCGACTTCTTTCAGTCTAACAGTATTTGGTGAGTACTTGACTGAGCTCTGATTTCAGAGATGTGCTTGAACCTGTTAATGATATTACTTTCTACATTGCTGATGCTTTCACACATCTTTTTTCTCTGCTTGTTCCTCATTTGATATTGTTGTATGCACTTTTACAAAACTGGGAAACTTTAGATGGATTTGGCAACACTGTGATCCTCAATAGATTTATTGAGCAATGTTTGCATTGCACAGACCAGAGGTGTCTCTGGGTTGGATGAAGTTAGTGGTTGGTAGGCCTGTCACAGTAATTACATTATCTGCTTATCAAAGCCAGCAAAAATGATCAGGTCCATGTCCATATATCGCATGATATTATTGCCTCTAGTTCTTTGTTTGCATAAGAATGTCACCAAGACTTTGGCTAACAGGATAGCAGAGTAAACATGCATACATACACATCCCATGTAGACTTTCATGGTCTTTATACACTGGTAGTTGCCCAGAGGGTCAACAAAGGCAGCTGCCTGCTGTGTCTTATACCGCTGTTTAAAGATGCCTCTGTGTATCTGTGTCTGATGCTGACAGGCCACTGACCAAGTGTTGGTATTTGATGAGTTGGAAGTGGGTGGGTTGCCCATTCACCACCCCAACCTGCCTCCTAACATGGACTTTTGCTCTTTTTACCACCTCCCTCTGTATCCCAGTCAGCACATTGGTAATCGCAGCCTTCGCAATTACATGTGTTGCGCACAAATTACTGGCTCATGATTAAGTGGGTTATATGCGAATTGTGGTACATTACTTTCGTAGGGATATGTACGAACTGTGTGTGAGAACAGCCTGACCTGTTACCACAATTACAGATGACTTTATCAGCTTTGAAAAATATAATCTGTGCAACCACACACACACACACACACACACACACACATACATATACACAACACAATACTTCTTTCACATAATTCCAATGTCTGAATGTTCTGAAGAATTGAAAGTTGACTGTTCTTTTCAAGGGTGTGCATGAATCATTATTATGCTGTGAAATTATCTTTGTCAGTGGCACACACTGATAGTAATAATAAAGATAATATTCTTTATCACAATTATTTGTAGGATGATATATCGTCCACCAAGAAAAGTTATCGTGAGAGGCCTAATGGTTTTGGCAAGTTGGGAGGAAATGATTTCCAAAGCTACGGGCTATGTTCACAAAAACTCCTCTATTTCCTCAAGTGAAAATAAAACTATGCAAATTATGAGCTGCCGTTTTTGTAACTATAAAGACGTGTTGTATAAACATACTAAATAAAAGTAAATTGGGACAGCTTTGACTAGCCCTTGTTTCTCATCTGACATGTCTGTCTAAATTACATATGCACTGTAAATATAGATCCAAACATGAATGAATGCTTGGTTCATTTTAATAATGTAGGATCAATTTTCTCTGTGGACAGAGAGGCCAAAAGGCAGCCCGATGTGCTCTGTGCAGTCAGTGAATAATGTCAACCTGCAGTACCACTGTCGGTGGCTGGGGGGAACCCCACAGGCCCAGTTGTCTTTCCCAGCACTGAGTAACACGAGCAGCGGAGCAGGAAACTTCAACCTGACCGTCACCCCCTCTGATAATCTTGACGGGAAAACTGTCACATGCATTGCATACCACCTATCTGAACAGAATAAACAATACTGCAATATTACTGCAAGTAAGTGTTAGACTTTTAATGGATTATCAAGACAACAATCTGTTGTTCCAAAAATAACACTTTGTGTGTGTGACTTAAGAAGCCAACCCTAAACCAGAACCTTATCTTCCCCAGGTAGTCCAGTGAAGTTCCTGCCATCCATGAGAACCACGGTTGACTCCAGTGGCAAAATAGTGGTCACTATCCAGTGTGTCAGCGAGGCCTCGCCTAAGGCCGTGGTGTCATGGCTTAAAGGCAACGAGACTGTCACAAAAGGGACAACGTACCAGATCAGCAGAGACACCACACAGCTCCAGATTGAGGATAAAAATGTCAACAACTTTGCCCCCCAGAACTACACTTGTACCTGCCGCAACCCGCTGGGCAGCCAGAGGAGGGTGACTCAGTTAATGGGTAAAGTGTTGCTGTTCTTGGTTTGTTGGTCGACTGTCAACATTAAGGAGGGGTGTAAAGTAAGTAAGCGAAGCACCCCAGATGTCCCTCTCCTCAGCAACGCTTTCCAGCTCCTGGGGGACCCCAAGGCGTTCCCAGGCCAGATGAGATATGTAATCCCTCCTCTCCAGCATGTTCTGGGTCTGCCCTGGGGCCCAGGAGGCATCCTGATCAGATACCCGAACAATGCAAAGGAGCAGCAGCTCTACTCCGAGATCCCTCTGGATGTCGGAGCTCCTTACCCTATCTCTAAGTCTGAGTCCAGCCACCCCACGGAGGAAACTCATTTTGGCCACTTGTAGTTAGTAGATAAGCACATTTAGCAAGTAAAATATCAACATTTCTAAAGTGACACAGCAGATAGATAGATAGATAGATAGATAGATAGATAGATAGATTGATTTTAGAACCCTGAACATGGGTGTTTTTTAGTGATCTGCACCAACATTGAGGTATTTTAAGCCACAGCATGATCTTTTCCTAACCTCGGACCATGGTTTTTGTGCCTCAACCTTACGACATAAACCACAGGATTACACACACAGGACACATTAAGTTTCAACATATCTGCTAAATAATAATGTGCAAATGTAACATATCAGTGGTTTGCAAAAACATACAATGCCAACATTTTTCCGGCACTTGGGTTTTGTCCTTTGCCTCCAATTTCAAGCACTAGCATTACCGGAGTCAAAGGGAACAATGAGCCCTCAGACAGAGAGCTAAGTAATACCTGAGATTGCTCTTTCCCTTGAAACAAAGCTCTCCAGTCTTGGTATCCCCTCACCCCCTCCTCTCCTGCCCTCTCTTGATCTCCCCCTCACTCACAATCCCTCTCTTTCCAGGACCGTCGATCTCAGATTCCAGTTTGTTCCCTAATCCCAACGGAACCATCGTCACATTGACCTGGGAGGTCCCGCCCACCTCTGTTGTTACAGGTAAAGCAGTGATTAACTCTAGAAAGGCAGCTCTGCAAAAGCCCCAGCTTGATTTATTTCTCACAAGGATATCTTTAAACACCACACACACAAACACGACCGTCTTGTTGGGAATTTGTACGTCTCAGCAGAACTCCACCGTGTTGAAAACAGAAACTCAACACAGAAGATAGGGGTGTAAATATTGTGAAATATGCGAGGCTCTAACTGAGCAGTGCTGTGTTTTTGAATATAACATTTTAAAGACAAAAGCACTGAAAAAGCAAATGTCAGTTTTTGTTATGTCTTCTCTGTCAGTTTGTGTGTACATAGTGACAGCCAGATTTTCCTACTGAAACAGGCCTGTGACAAGGATCAGTGAAATCTTGACATGTGATACCGCTATGTAAGTCATGGCTTAATGGTAACCCTAGATTTGCGAAACTTGTACGACAATGCTGTGGTTACGGACTGGTTAGGTTTGGGTACAAAAAGTTTAGGGAAAGATAGCGGTTTGGGATTATATGATCACTTGAGATGAATCGCGAATCTGAAGTTATCATCTAGACACGATCCACTATGTGCTTTGATTGATTGACGCTAGTATATATGTGCTTTTGTAAAGGGTTTGACGTCCAAAAGAAAGGACCAGACCTCCTGAGCAAACATGGTAATGGCATCACCACTAAAGGCAGCTCAAACAAATTTAAAACCATCCAGCAGAAGCCTGGCTCTGCTAGGAGCGCAGACATCTTTGTCCTCGATCCCGACTTGACATACTGGTTTCGGATCATCCCCAGAGCTCTGATGACTGAAGGAGCGCCATCTGAGGTCCACAGAATTGGTCCAGGTACGGCAAATTGTCAGATGGTGTGTATGTGTGTGTTAAAGCAGTGTATTTCTTATCACAGGGTCAGCAGTGGTGCTGCAGTGGTAATATCGTTGTTTACTGTTTGTCTTGGTGATAATAGGTGTCGGGCTGAGTGGACCTGCCATTGCTGGCATTGCAGCTGGAATCCCCTGCAGTCTTCTCGTTCTAATCCTGCTAATTGTCTTCATCTGCTTCTGTGTCTACTGGAACAAGAACAAAAGTAGGTGTTTGATGAGCAAAGAGTCTGAATCAAGTCCTTTAACATGATGAGTCTTTTTTTTAACACTCTGTGGTGAATGTTTTTGACTTTTCTGTGTTTCATAGATCATCAGGCAAGATATCCAATGTCCAGAGCAGTTGAGAAGGTAAGAAACACTTTACTGGCCATCAGATTAGTTGATATTTACAGTTGATGAGGAGCTTGTGAAGTATAAAATACACACCTTAGGGGGTGATCACACAGAAATGAGATGCTAGAGACGCGGATGCTTCAAAGACGCTTGAAACACTGGAAGCACTTATTCAATGCGAACTAGCTACTGGTGTCTGATGCTCAAAAAAGTTGAAATTATTTTAACTTTTCAGTATCTACGCGTGTCTAAAAAGAAGCTGGAAAACCGCCCGTCTAAAAAGACGCTTGAACGCCAGTCAGACGCGCCGTATCATAGGAAAACAATGGTTTTACTGGCGTTGCGTTTCTAGGTTTTCATCTCTGTGTGATCGCTCCCTTACTCTCCATATCACACATCAGATTCATTCATTAATGTATTTCACAATGAATTCTGCATCTGCAGTTTTGGCTGGTTGTTATAAGGTCTTTCTTTTGACTCACAGGCAATATCAACCCAAACAGAAATAGTGCCTCATAACCTGCTGAAGGCAGGGCGGAAGGCTCCCCCTGATTACAACAAATTTAAGGTGGTAGTCTGTCTATTAAACACATCTAAGGTTGCTTCTTTTGTTGATTTAGATATTAACTGTCTTGTTTTCTTTCAGACTCCCTCTGAAAAGTCAGTGCCTCTCCCCACATTTGTCCCTCCACCACCTGTCAGAGTTGCTACAACTGTCTAAACTCCTGTATTTGCTTTATATATTAATTTTGTATAGCATGCCTTATTTTTATGTTTTGTCTTAATGTATGAGATTTTTTCTATATTTGTATTATTACTTTAACTGAACTAAGAATTGGTTTTATAGATTTACTTGTACCACTTTCCTGATCTGCAATGTAAAACTCCATTTTGTAAATTTATTTATTCACAATAAATCAAAGTATAAGCAATGCCTATAAATTTAATTAGTTACATATCAAGGAAAGCCTTACTGTTGCAATGGAGCTCTCAGAAATTTTTAATCTGTATGGCCAGATGGGGCAATTGAAAATCCAAAAAGCCGGGCGGCACAGTTGTGCATTGGTTAGCATTGTCGCCTCAAAGCAAGAGAGTTCCCGGTTTGAACCTGGGACCCCTCTGAAAATCGCCATGCCAGTTGTTTCCTTGCCAAAATTTAGCCTAAAGTTGGAGTAATAATGAACCCCCTTCAGCCATGGTTGGCACCTGTGGAGGCCTTAGGTTGTCTAGTTTCACAAGATACAACTTCCTTAGTGCTACCTTAAAAAATGAGTGCACCACTGCCTGTTAAAGACAATGTACAATGACAATGTAATTGTTTCCTTCAAATTCATTATAACTTTCCAACCATACTGTTGTCCTAGGTCACTCAGTATTCTGTTGGAACATAAGGTTAGTTACATGAAAGATTATGTTCTGCTTCATGACCAACACATTGATTGATTTGAAGTACAAACATCATGTTTGTTGCTGAGGATCATGGAAAGGCGGCAGACTTTAAGGTCAGGTCTCACGCTGAGGAGAGCAGCGCGCCACCCAGGAAACTGTGAATCAGTGTTGCAGTACGTGTACCACCCTGATGTGTTGTCTGTTGTGAGGAAACACACATTCATATAACTGTCAGGTGTTTCCATCATGGTAATCTGATGTGTGTCATATTTATATTTGTGCAGCAGATGGTGCTATTGTGCGGTGCTGAAGACGTCCCATCACAAGAAGATTTTAAGCTGTTGGCACAGTGGAATGTGAAAATACTTTTATATAAATGATAATAATCACAATTAGAGCTGACGACGTTGCTGCTACTGCCTTTGTCTGCCTGCATTTCTATTTTTTGCTTCATTTGTTTTTAATCTAATTGACTTTTACTCATGCTAATATTAGTTCACCACCATAACTGAATGAAAACAAGCTAATAGCCACGTCACTGTAAAGACTAAAACCGTGATCCAGATGAAAACACACAACTGGATAGACCTGCTATAACTTCCAAACTAATATGTGTTGTTTTTTTTAAGATTATTTTTTGGGCACCCCTTAGTATAGTGAAAGACGGACAGGAAAGGAGGGAGGATGACATGCAGCAAAGAGCCACAGGTTGGAACCCCAGCTGCTGCAAAGGCCTGAGGCGCACACTCTACTAGTTGGCTAGAGGTCGCCCCAGTTGGTGTCTTTTAATACACAAATTATACAGGAATGAAACCTATTACCAAGAACTTACTGTAAAAAAGTTTCAATAGGTTTTGTCTAAAGATGCACTTAAAAAAGGGTCGTCAGATTTCCATCTTTAGCTGCAAGTGTTAACCTCGATTTGAGGAAGACAAAGCTCTCATCATGAAATGAAGAAGGACTTGTACTAACTGGTCAAAGTGTGACATTTCAGAGGAAGTGTCAGGCCAGCCAGAACGGTTAACCTTGGGTACAAGATCATTTACCTCAGTTACACTTATGTCCCCCCAGTTACATCACCCATGTCTCTTTTTTCTCTTTAATTTCAGATTCCCCTTTTCTGCCTTCTTTACGTCTCTCTGGACCAGACAGCGGTTCAGTTTAGTGCAAATGTGTTCTTACTCAAGCCTGTAACACTGATGGTAAACCACCTGCCAGCTGCTTCCTGCGGAGCAATTCAAATGGTGGACTTCTCACAGCTCCTAACCAGAGTGTACACATCATCATATGCACTATCTGAGATCTCAGTGAAAACATTTTACACTGCATATAAGTCCACGCCCTGGGCAGGGCCAGCAATACAGAGTGTGAGTACTCCCTAAATGAAGGTTTTATGTGGTGCTGATGGCCTGTTTCCACATTTAAATACACACCCAAGTGAGTGTAATTCACATGACAAATTAGCTTGTGTTAGTGTTGTAACATAGCGGCCATTTTGTGTAGCTCTTTCTATCATGCTGGTCACACAGTTTGAAGGTGCTGTCATCTTTTGGCAGCATGATATGTTAGAGTAGATCAAAATTCCATCATATGTCTCTCATACTATAATAATTTAATTTTTAATTTAATTTTAATTTTATATACTTTATTAATCCCCGAGGGGAAATTCAATTTTTTCACTCTGTTAATTACACACAGGTCCAAACACACACGCACAAACAGGACCTACATATGCACTAAATGGAGAGATGTCAGAATGGGGCTGCCCATGACAGGCGCTCCGAGTGGTTGGGGGGTTCGGTGCCTTGCTCAAGGGCACCTTGGCAGTGCCCAGGAGGTGAACTGGCAATACACCCATGAGGAAGAGCAGCTGATTATGGTGCTAAATCATAGTCAGTTATGAATGTTTTAAACTGAGTGATGCTGTTTCCAAACCCATGACTCCCCTTTATTTGACATGGTACGACGCCAACAACAACATGTTTACACCTAAGAGACACCCCCATCTTCAGTGCCTCCAAGGTTGTTGCACTTCCCAGTTCAGTAAAGGTCATAATATTCTTTTAAAGTAAAGGAATTTCTAGTTTACACACTATAGTGTCCATCTCTTTCTCTCTGTCTTAGATGCCCAGTTATCGTACCATAAACATCATGTCTGTGGCGAGTGAGGTCATCAGGTGAGAGGCCAATGTCATCTGAACATCACTGCACACTCAAGGTAACTGTTAAATTAACCTGGGAGATCATGACGTTGGTATAAGCATGTATTTGCATCACAGACGTGCAAGTGTAGATGATAGCTGTGCCTGAACAGATAATGTACCGATGACACATCAACCACAACTGAGCGTAGCTGTGATGTAAAAATGCATCATTACTTAAGAACTGCTGTAAATGGCATGTCGATTACATGAATGGGGAAGTCAAGGGGTTCACAGGAGGTGGCTTGTGCCAATACCACATAAGAATGTATGAAACTGCTACAGTGTGACTGCAAAATAAACACCCCAACAGCTGTGTGCAGTTTAAATACACAAAATGCTGATTTTGTCTAAGTTAAAAAATAACATTTTAGGGTGTGTTTTCATCCCGGCGAGTTGTATATATGTTTATTGCATTGTCAAATGAATCAAATTACTTAGAGAAATCCCATATGTAGAATAATTAGGCAATTAATTACAAAAAGATGATGTTACTACTGCTAGTTTCTATCTAGTTTCAGAGTTATTTGTTCAAAATACAACACACTGTGCATGTTTTCCCTTTATGATATGTATTTATGTAAACCCAGACAATCTCCTTAAACTCACACAACAAACAATGATCCTGTTTTATTCACTCTGTTCCAATAAAATTGCAAAGAGGGAGGAGCCACAGGATAGGGAACTGTGAGTGATGTGGGTTGTGCTGGACCGTTTGAGCCCTGGAACTTGAGGAGTGTATCAGTGACTATGGATAGTGGTCAAGGTGTCCACAGTCCCTGAATAAGTGATAATAATAAGTAATAAGTAAGTCTGTAATACTAATACTATGATATAAATACTCATAAAAAAATAAAATAAATAAATACTGATAAATAAATATAAATTAGTAAACTAACTGAATAAGATAAAATAAAAATAATTAAATATATTCTAATATAATAAAATATGAATATAGTACTAATGCATTAAATGCTCAATCTTTCTGGATCTACATGATAAAATTAATTAATTTTTTTTTTGTTACGTACAATAAGTTGTGTCGTTTTCACACCAACTATTCAATTTCAATATTTTTTTTTCAATTTATTTATTTATTTTTTTTTCACATTAAATCATATGAATACAATTTAAGTTGCCTTAATTTTGTGAGTAGATCAAGCAGGATATTTATCAGAGTTCCCTGGATATTACCACAGACCATTAGCTGCTCATTTCACTTGAATAACCTTAAGTAACCCAGTCACTGTAGCAGCTGTGACTGTTTTGAAACACTATGCAGGCCATGTGAATCATGTTGATGCATGCCAATAGCTTTCACTGCTAACACTAATATTGTTAATACTTACAATTTTTCAGTATATGTGTATTAGCAGTGTATTTTTTTTTTTAAGCAGCTCTTTGGTCATGTGTCTGTTCTAAGCGTGTATGTGTCCCCATAACCACACCCCAGCCACACTGAAAGAAAGTGTGCGCTTCAGCATGTTCCATTGACCACAGCAGTACTGCAAGCCTTTGCACATCCACAGTTCCAGAATGCCTCATAGAACAACAGACAAGGACTGTAGTGTAGCGGCCTCGTATCCCAGACCCTCCCCCATCACCATCCAACGGCATCACCCCTCCCCTGTCCCCTGACCCCCCAAAATACTCCCATGTAGTTCAGTGTGAAAGAGTCACGTGGCTTTTGGCCCACCAGCTCAAGTGCATTTGTTCTGTGCTGATTGTTTTAAAGGATTTTGCCTCCATCGACAGAAAAGTGGAGGGGATAACTTTTTGGAATTCAGCCTAGGGCTTCCTCTTTGACGTTTCGCTCACTCCTGGCTTGCACTCTCTCTCACTCTTTCCCTGAGGAAAGACTGATACTTAAGAGGGTTGATTTATCCTGAGGAATTCAGGTAAGATGATGTTGCGTCTTTTGTTAATCGCTGGTGACACTTAGGTAATGACAATTTGGAGTAAAAAAAATCATAAAGACTGCATATAATGCCGTGGCAACCAATGGGTGTATGACTCACAGGTGGGCTCGGAAGGCCTATACATGTGTAGTGACACACTTTCAGGATTTTATCTCATGTCGTTTACATGCAAAATGCCTATTTTGTATAAATGTGTGTTACATGTTTTGTTTTGTTCAACATCTATATTATCACAGGACTACCCATGAATTCTTTTTAATTAATACATGATACCTTTCGCAACGTTTTATGCCAAACTTGGATTCAAGATTTATCTGGTTCCTTTCATATATACAGATACGTCTATGGTGTTTGGACCATCCACCAAGAGTGTGTATGATGTATGTTGTAACTGATAGCTGAGAGCAAAATGGACCTGGTTGACACAGATGTTTGATGTCTGCTGTGAAATACTGACTCATTTGGCTAATTTGCTGTTGTGGTATTTTTAAAAAAGGCAACAAAACACAGATCGTGGATAATTACAGTCTGTGCAGCTGAATAGGGGAACAGGGTTTAACCCATGGGCTGATTATGAGACAATGGGTCCCTGGGCACAGATATGCAAAGGCCCCCACCACCTGTCTGTCACAGAAACAAGGCACACAGGACTTTGTGGTGGTCTGTGTTTATTTATTGTTGTTATGCATCTTTTTGTGGGTCTGTGTCTCATTGTGGTCACTATGTGTTTTCTTGTGTTTTTTTTGTGTCTTTGAGATCATTTTTGTGTCTTGTTTTGTTGTTTTGATTCTGTTCCTGGTAGGTTTGTGTTAATTTGACATTTTAAATTGTGCTAGTGAAGGCCAAGGGGCCCCCCTGACACTCTGGGCCCCTGGGCCTGCGCCCAGTAGGCACATGTAGTAATCCATCCATAGTTTACCTGTTTATGTGTCTTTGTGGAGTTGGACTAGTTGGACATATTTTTGTAAGCTACCGTCATTGTTTTCATTTTAAAACCTTGTATAACATTTAATTCAAGGCTCTATTTGTATCATCGTCTTTCACACCATTGTAAGTTATGTGTGACTTGACTGCGGTGCTCTTAGGCTATTTTCTGATTTGGGTTTAATGTGGTCGGTATAGGAGATAAATGTACATATTTGTGGCTAGTTTGACTAAAGTGAGGACTACTAAAAACATGTTCACATGTTGCTATGAGCTATAGTGTGGTTGGTATGATTCCTCTGTCCAGGGCAGCAGCTTTATGACCAGTTCTGTGCTGTGTTGTCACAGCAAACTGTGTGGTCAAGACAAAGAGACATGCATACATAGATAGACTAGCTCTAACATCCTCTGGTTGCCTCAGACAGAATCTTCCTAGAATGAGAAACTGCAAATGTTGCTGCTTGCAGACAGCCCCGCATTCATATTACAAAAAAAAAATCAACTTTGTTTGCCCTCTTACCAATAGTCTACAAGAAGGAGTCATCTCTGTCTCTGAGGAAATGCAGTGGTATAAATTCAACTCTGTTGTCAGGAGGTGAAGCAATGGTTAGAATAGATGTGTGCCGGGGGGGTGTTGTTTTAAGCCCCCAGAGCTGCAGGGTAAATCTAAACAGGAAATGAAAATGAATGTTTTCCCTTTGTTAGAGACTTAGATAATGTCACCCAAACTGTAGCTCAAAGATAAGCCCCCATTTTACCTGTGGCAATGCTGACTTATATCACAGCAGACTGACTGCATTTGGCAGCCTCTAGATGTGTACAGTCTGCATCCATTCCTTCGGGCCATCCCTGTCTCCTGAAACCATTTCCTATTAACATTAACGCTAAAGCTACAAACCCTGTTATATAAAATGACTAACATCATTACTGACTCCCATCTTCTCTCTCTTTTTGCACAGTGCATAAAGCCTTTACCACTGTCATAGTGTCACTCATGATGCACAGCTTCATGGGAGGGGGCCTATTTTGTGCCATCGTGGGGAACATCCTGCTGGTGGTCTCCACAGCCACAGACTACTGGATGCAGTACCGTCTGTCTGGCAGCTTTGCCCATCAGGGCCTGTGGAGGTACTGCATGTCTGGCAAGTGTTACATGCAGACTGACAGCATTGGTAAGTTGGAAAATATCTTCTTGGACCCTTAAATATTCCCTTGGGTCTCCCTGAGGCACAGCAGCTCTCACAAGAGTCAATGTCTACCTATCTGAGCACACTGGTGTCTTAAGTCTGTCCTTGCTTTTGAGGTACAATATGAATTTCTGGAGGTGATGACAGCAACAATAACAATAATAATATTAAACCTCAATTTGTTTAGCACTTTGTATACAACAAATGCAGCAAAGGGCGCTTTACAGTGAGGAAATTACACATACTGAGAGCTTCACATGAGAAGGACAGAATGAGCATTCAAAAAAAGGTAATGAATGCAATAATTAATGCAAAATAGGACACCTAATAAAACCCACATAGTAATAACAGTAACTGTACATGCACAGAGTGCTTCACATGAAAAATGACAAAGAGTAAACATGTAACAGGACAACAGGGCAATTACACATAAGAGGACTGAGGCTTCTTGTGGTTTCACTTTTAAATTTGAACTGTGAAACCAGAAACTGGGGTGAACTGTGTGCTCTCACTGCCCACATATTATCTCTTTTGTTCTGTCTCTGTCAGTCTGCACTTCTGCATTACTCATAGATAACATAGCTCCAAAACAGAGCTCCAAAATTAGTGACCTTAACATTTGCCTAAACAGCAGCCTGTGGGTTCCTCTCTCTGAGCACTTGGTAAACTGTGAACTATGCCGCTATTTCCTACACACTGGACCTTTAAGTAAACTGTAAAACACTATGAGATTCTGTCTCTCTTAGAGTTTTAAATAAACATTGTGTCGACCTGTAAGTAGTATTTATCATAACTTTATCTTCTCTTCTTCTTCTTCTTCTTCCTCCTCGACTATTTCATTCTTCGCAGGAATAAATGTCATGGAATTTTGGAGCAAAGGAATACAGAAAACACAGTTTATACAATGCTGTCCCACCGTCTGAAAAGAACATTTCTAAAGAAACTAAAGTTGGCTGCTTGTTGAAATAAGCATATGTATAGTGGTGGGAAGTTACAGCACTGCATGTACAATCTCACTGGTACAGTAACTGCTGCTGCCAGATAAACATAAGTGATATAAATGGTCAAGAAGTTCAAATGACATGGAAAAATGCATTAAAATAGTCAAAGGAGCTCAAACTGTACTTAAATAAATACACTTCCCTGTGCAATGTGACCAGTTGATGGCAGTTGCTAGACATGATATGACATCAATACGATAGGCATACCATCACTGTTTTATGGTTGCCTTCCCTGGCAGTGTTAATGATTGCTGCTGTGTGAGTCCTGCAGTAAACTGGAACAAGGGCAAAAGTTGTGTGGAATAAAAAGTCTGAGTTCATGTTTAATGGGTGGGTAGAAATGTTAGAAAGTAGATTCATTCCCATTTTCAGTTGATATTGATTGCATTTTAGTATGAAACTGACATTTTTTATGTATCTTTCTGCACATATCTTTCTACTCCTCAGCTTACTGGAATGCTACTCGTGCTTTCATGATCCTCTCTGCCATGTCGTGCTTTGCTGGCATCATCGCAGGAATCCTCTCCTTTGCCCACTTCTCCGCCTTCGAGAGGTTCAACCGCTCATTTGCTGCTGGGATCATGTTCTTTGTTTCAAGTGAGTCATGCAGTACTACTAATTCTGTTTTTTGATATCACATCGCCATGAATGAGGTTTTTATTTAATAACTTTGCATGTTATGAAAATCTTAGATAAAGTTCACCAGGCCTGCCATGGAAACTAGCCATACCATCATGACTTCCAACAAAGACGACCTTTACTATTATGGATATTAATTTTAATTTGCATCATTCTCTGCCCTCCATGCCAGCTCTCTTTGTTCTGCTTGCAATGGCCATTTACACTGGAGTGACTGTGAACTTCTTGGGCAAGCGCTTTGGTGACTGGCGCTTCTCTTGGTCCTACATACTAGGCTGGGTGGCACTGCTCATGACCTTCTTTGCAGGTTTGTTCAAATAAAAGAGTGCAGCAGAGTTTGGTGTGATAATGTTTTTGCTGATAGTAAACAGAATCAGTTTGAGTCCTTGTATGAATGTTACACAGTTATCACAAACTGAGGAAAACAGCTTACAACAGCTCTGTCAAATCTTGTAAAACATGGACATGAACATTGTAATTTTATTGAAATTTTATTTACAGAAAATCCTTGCAGTCCCATCAGCTTTGCACTCATTAAGATGCCCACTATATATTTTCAGTCTCACACATCAGTAACATTTACACTAGAAAATTCAAAAATATCTCTTACCATCCAAATGCTTTTTTTTACTGTACAGGTACAATAGTTTGTCATTGTGCCATTATCTTATACTTTACATGTCTGTGTACTACAGAAACAACCTTTGTGATAATTCAACACCAAAGGACCTATGTTTTGTTCTGCAGGTATATTCTACATGTGTGCCTACAGGATGCATGAGTGCAGAAGAGTGGCCGGCCCACGTTAAAGTAAGCAGGAAATAACGTGTCAAGGCTGGACAGGATATCAATTTCCGCTCAAAAATAGAGAATAGAGAACTTACTGTAAAATAATAAAAATTTGGAATTTTGCATATGCATCATACATGTCCTGTGGTTTGTCATATAATGATCTATGGTTGTTTGGTATGAAAAGCAGTTCAGACTCTTTGAGCACGATAAGATCAACAAAAATGTTGTTACTCAGTAACCAGCAAAACCCAGATGTGTGACATTATTTTACAAATGAACTAAACTATTAGATCAGTCTGTACAGCATTACAAATATATCTGATATAATAAGATAAGATAAGATAAGATAAGATAAGATACACCTTTATTGATCCCACAATTGAGAAATTCCAGTGTTACAGCAGTCAAGGAGAGAGTAAGATTAAAAATTTAAACTCAAAAAATAAAAAATAAAAACTAGGCATGCAAAATAAAGTACCAAAATACAATTAACGGTGATAAATAACAATAATAATAATAATGATGAGAAGTGGATAATAATGAGCAGTGAATAAAAATGAGCACTGGATTAAAGTGAGCACATCTAGTGCAAGTGACTGTGCAAAAAAAATAATAAAAAAGAAAACAATAAAAGTTATAATAATACCTATAATATACATTACAATAATAACATTGATGCTATATATGTACATTTTGTATAGAAAGTGCATTTTACACTTAGCCAGAGCTCGTGGGCTGCTTTTGTAATCCTGGAACAGTGACTACATGCTTCCTGAAAATTGACTTTTTACTATTGCAGTGGAAAGAGGAGGAGGAATAGTAGAAGATAATGGGATCAATACAGGTGTTGAAGGTGCTGAGTAGCAAAGTGTAGTACCTCCATTTTGGGCTCTCATTCATGAAGTAACCCAGTAAATGGGAGAAATTGTATGGCAGCACACAAATGAGAAACACAGCTAGAGTCCCCATGGCCATACCAATGGCCTTCTGCTTCTGCATCCGGGATATCCTGGGGCGACTGTACAAGATCAAGATGCAGTGCATGTAGCAGTAAACACAGATCAGAAGAGGTATGAGGCACAGCACGAAGAAAAACTCTAAACGAACAGGGAGGAGGACCTTCAGCTGTTTCTCAGTGAAGTTCTCATAGCACACACTGGAGTTTTTGCTGGACAGGGATGGGTGGTGCTGGGTAATGAAAGTGATGCTGCAGTGTGCTGCTGAGATCAACCAAATAACAGCACTGGTAACTATTGCATACACAGGTTTGAGCAGCCGGTGATAGGTGACAGGGAAAGCTACCCCGATGTAGCGGACCACACTGACAGCCATCAGCAGCAAGGAGCTGGTGTAGATTGTGGAAAAGAAGGTGAAGGAGGTGATGGAGCACAGGAAGCTGGGCAAGTGCCATTCCATGCCTGATGCTGCCTCGTGCATCTTGAGAGGAAGGATGATCAGAAAGAGCAGGTCAGAGACAGTCAGGTTGAGAAGCAGGATGTCTGTTGGCAGGGGCTTGGAGTTGATCTTAACGCTGAAGGCGTACAGAGACAGGAGGTTGGACGGCAGGCCTATGAGGAAGGAAATGATGTAAACTGAGAGAATGACCTCACTCCTCACTGCTGGCTCCATTATTAACCTAAACCAAATGAAGTAAACAAACACCAGTCAGACTTTCCAAAGTCACAGAAACAGGTGGTTAAAAATCACAGATTATTTTTATAGCAGGGACAATGGTTATGGTTATGTCTGTGTACATGATTTGGTCCAAATAAACACCCAGCTTGTTTCTGATATATAACAAACAGAGAATATGGGAAAATATAGAACATGTTTGAGCAACCACATTATCTTAAAGGGAAATACACCCACTTTAAAATTCATACATGTTATTCCTAAAGTCTGAGATAGCCCCACACTATTGGTAAACACGAACAACTCTTTCCCAAATCCAAAAGCTAGTGTACTAAGTTTTAACATCATTGGGTGCAAAGTCCTGAGCTGCTCCTTCAACAACAAATTGGGAGAGATGTTATTTACATGCATACTAGTATCACAATATTATGACAATATTCTGAATTTGATATGGGTCATGTAAACAGCATATTCAGAATGTAGCATTTTCCAACTATGATATGTGAGACACGTCGGTATTACTCAGGTTTTAGGAGCATTCTGTGGACACAGCACATTCAGAATATGCGTCACAAATGACGTGTTTATTGCAGTTTGCAAAACACATCCTGTTGCCTGTTGACAGTCAGCTCTGTGCATTGTCATGGATGCATTGTAGATAAACCAACCAACTCACTAACAGTTTGGAAGATGGTGTAGAGGTGAGTGCCCTAAAGAAACTCCCCCATTTTTGCTTAGAAGAAGAAACGCACCCATATTAAACATTATCAAAGACTTGGATATCAGTAGGGCACATTCTTTTGAGAATGCATGGTTGTATGTAAACAGTAATAGTGGAATAGTCACTTTCATTAGCCATGTGAACACCTTAGTAGGAATACTGTCTTTTTCGGAGTAAGGGTAGAAACTATCATATATTGTGTGTGCAACGGTGGTCACTGAGAGGAACAGGAAGATCTGCCTATATTGGTACATTTTCTGTTTCAGGACTGAGAACACTACAGTAGAATTTTGTGTATGAATGGGTACTCATTTGGGTATGAAAAAGAAAACAAACACTCTGTGAGTCCACAGAATCAGGCTCCCATTCATTGACTGTGGAGCAGCTCCAGACTTTGTACCCTATGACATCACAAGTTTGAAACTTAATTCTCTGGTTTTGAGCTTTGAGAGAGAGTATCAAATGTTCACAAATATTGATAGGCCATGGAAATAACATATTGGAATTCTGAAATTTGGTGGTGTTCCCCTTTAAAGTCCCAGTCACCTAACTGTAAACAGCCCCATCAGCAAAAACACAACAGGGACCTGCTGTCAATCCCAACTGATTGAGAGGTATGAACTGGCAGTGAGTTCTGTAGGTAAAAGTCACTAGACATCAACGACATAATCAGTTTTGGTGCATTTGTAGGTTTGTCTGCATCAGCAACTTTTTCAAGGTATCTGTTCAAACACATAACAGATTTTGAAGACGTCCAATCAGCATCTTTACGTTTCTCTTAGTAATCTGTAGATACTGTTAATTTCTCATTTGTTCGCAGCTATCTTTCATATTATGTGCAAATAAATAAAGTTAGTTTGAGAAATGGCTTTTTATGACACAGGATTTCAAAACAAACGAGCCAGACTCCAAACACCAGGTGTGGAATTTCAACAGCAAAAAGGATCTGTAATGTTTGATTAGACAAATAAAAATATGCACTTACCTAAGAGCTGATGTTTTCAGAAAAAAAAAAAACAAAAAACTATTAGAGCTCCGTGTTGTTTGCCTTCCTGTGCCTTTCAGCAAAGTTCATCACCAGTTTATTACTTGTGAGTTCAAAGATGAGCTGATATAAAATGTCATAAGCCGGAAGTAGAGAGTAAAAAGTGTGACACCCACTCTGTGTGGAGCAATGAGCAGTCAGCAATTGCTTAATATGAACTAAAATGCAAAACTGGAGCTCGTGTTGACTTTCATATTGGGCATCTAACTGAAGGACCTCCTCCCACTACATCTCTTCAGGAATAAACTCTGACATGATAATTAGGTTTGGATTTCATCAGCCAATGAGCCTGCATTTATTTGAAGTTACGCCCACGCCACAAGCTCAGAGAACAGGTCATCATTTCGGATAAACAAATTATTGCTCCACATAGACATTCAAGTAAGTACGTGCGCTTTGAGTTTAAGTCCAGTGTGGCGTCAATACTAGAGAGCAATATCAGGCATCAGCGGTTTCATCAACAGAATAGCTGCACATGTAGTCTAACTCTACAGTAGATCTGTTATCTGTTGCTTGGGAGCAGCTTGAATTTTGAGTTCCTTCCTGTCAGTCTATTCATATTAGCATCAGTTATCACTGCAACAGGAAATAAACATGGACAGCTCAATGTTTGTCGATGTAACAGGCACCACTGTGTTCAAGTTCTTTTGGAAAACTCAAGTCAATACATTAAAGTCTAAATACATGGACATAAGTAGTCATGCTTAAGTCTGACAAACTGTAGAAAAGGAAACATTGCAGTACATAAATGTGGCGGTTGTTTGTTTGCTTTATGCATTGCACAAAAGTGGGGAAACTACTGCAAGGAGCCTACTTTGTGAGAGCAGCAGCAGGCGTCCTCTTATCAGCAATTTAGATAGGTATCCTCGCTGCAGTCCAGACTCTGTGGAAGAGATTATTTGTCAGGGCTTACGCAATAAAAGCAACTGCAGAAAATGGCTTGAAAATGATGCTCAATGTGTAGAGAGAAAACAAACAATGGCACAAAAAGCAATAAATTTAATTTGGAAGTTGGTTCCTTCTGTTAAGGTCTATGCCGGCTCAGTCTGTTATACACATAGTATGTTCATGGGTTTTATACTCAATATAAGTAATGATCTGTTGTGAAGCACTACATAATTTTTTCATTAGTTGCATTTACTGCACCTTTGCCTGCAGCTGCATTTCGCCTTGTCTTCGGGGGGCTGTTGCATTGTTCTTGTACTGCTGAGCTCTGGCTGGTCTGATCATCTCTTGCACAAAATCATTGTCATAAACACAGGAAAGTCTGTCCACCTCAGGGTTGGTGCCTGACTGTGTGTCTTCATCTTGTGATCTAATAGCAAGAGGAAGAGGAGGAGAAATCAGCAGAGAGACTAATAAACGCTTTGAGTATTTCCCGTGACTTAGGCACGCTGACTCTTATTCTATCTTCTGCGGATCGATACATGTTGACAAAAACATTTCTTTGACTTTGTATGTTTGAGGGAAGAAGAGACAAAAATAAAACAGGCTACTCACGTGTCATAAATAACAGACTTTTTTCAGTTTCCTCACTAGATACTCAAAATCATGAAGATACAAAAAGACAAATATTTGTGCTGATATTGAGAATGAAATAGGTGCATTTACCTCTGAACACTGCTGTATCTTTGTTCTTGTTGGACACTGTCTGATTCATTTTGTGGCCTTAAAAATAGATGCAAAACTGTGATTTTGAATTCAGCAAATTTGAAATAAAGTATTGTCAGCTATAAACACATAATTCAGGTTCCACACCTGAAATGGATACCAGTGTTGCACACAAAGCCGGAAGGCGGTCTGTGGGTAATATAATAACAGTAAAAAGATTAATCATGGCAGTGCAGTCATTATACAGTATATGACAAGTAGTGAGGTCTACCAACCTGTCTGTAAAATATTGTCTGTAAATGAACATCACACATCCAACCAGCAGTGCAACTAAGCCTGGGAGCAGTACAGCTAACCACCACAAAGACAAAGAGGCTGTAATAAGGAGAATAGCTTAATTAATAAATATGATACACACAAAAAAATGCTTTTGGGAGTAGATTGGACCAAAAAAAAAGAATTCCAGAGTGTAATGTAACTTACATGTCTGTAAGTCTACAGACAGCTGTTTGGTGTCGCTGCCCACTAAGTTTGTGGCCATGCAAGATATATTAGTCTTGCTTTGAGCTTGGACACGTATTTCCCCAGAGACAACATCTTTCTTATTTGTGGAAACAATCCTGAAAGGGGACAGAAGAGTGTAATTTCCATCAATGGTCAAGTATATTGATGCATTGGGGGACGCCTCAGCCTGGCAGACACACTCTAGAGCTTCCTCTCTCTGGCGGCAGGAGGACTCAGGCAGGATTACTGGGGCATCTAGAAAGACGGAACAAAAATGTTATTTAACAAGTATCAACATCTTGGGTTTACTGTGATTTTCAAAAGTCAAAGATACATTTCCATCAAGCAAGTTCAGAGTGTTCCGCATTGCTCTTTTACATGTCTAGGTTCATAGTCTCATCTATGTCTTGTAGGCAAAGGTCATCTGCTCTCGTTTATTTGGGCGGTGGTGCAGTGGTTAGCACTGTCGCCTCACAGCAAAAGGGTTCATGGTTCAATCCCAGGAGGGAGCCCTTCTGTGCAGAGTTTGCATGTTCTCCCCGTGTCAGTGTGGGTTTTCTCCGGGTACTCCGGCTTCCTCCCACAGTCCAAAAACATGAAGGTTAATGGGTGAATCTAAATTGTCCGTAGATGTGAGTGTGAATGGTTGTCTGTCTGCGATAGTCTGGCGACCTGTCCAGGGTGTACCCCGCCTCTCACCCAATGTCAACTGGGATAGGCTCCAGCCCCTCTGTGACCCTCAAGAGGATAAGTGGTTGGAAAATGGATGGATGGATGGTTTGTTAGTGGCAGCAGGTGAGGACGTGATCAAATTTCTTGTATTATTTACTTGAAATGTGTCTTTACTGATATTTACCCTCTTAGTTTTGAACATTTGTGATGTGTGTTACTGATTTTTAATTAAAGACAGACTTTAAAAAGAAACTTAAATTTGTATTCCATTCAGTTTTAACTCCTCTTTTTATCTTCTCATATATATATATTTAAAGGTCCAGAACTGAAACTTCTCCCATGTGCCAAGTGAATAGAACAATAGTGTCGAACGCAAAAACACAAAATGCAAATGGCCCCATCTAGAACCAGTGTTTGATTTGTCTTTTCTAGGTTACTGTAGAACAACATGGCAATATTTGTGGAAGAGGACCTGCTCAAGACCCCAGGAAGTGCACTGGGCTTGGACAAAAAGTGAAATTACAACTGCCAGGTTCATCACATGACACCCTGTGGCCCTAAAAGAGTTTTCCCCATTGACTTACATGGCAAAAGAGACGTCTGTAAATTCACAACCCCCGGGAAATGACTCATTTCACTATCAGGATTTGATACATTCAGTCCAATTACATTTGGAAAGTCCAGAAGAGCTGCATGATTTAATTATTTTATCCCCATTCAGGTTAAAGTTAAAGAGTACTAAACCGGAAGTAGCCAGCTTGACCAGCGGAAGTTAACCACTCAGATGCACTTGGCTGCCCTAAGTCTGTAGTGTGCATGCTCGTTGGGCCGCAAAATGCCATAGTGGTGCCGATTGTCCCCAGATCATCCAGATAATTTTATATATTATATATTATTTTATATTTTATACAGCAGTTGAACCATTTTGACTTCATGCATCACTGAGCAACTCTCATAGGAATCAACATGGCTCTGCGTTTAATGCTGTATGCAATTCTCTTACATCCATGGACCAGCTCTGTATGCGGATAAAAATGGCTCATTCTAAGATAGTGAAAACATAACAATTCTTAATTTCAGTTATAAACGAATGAAAATATAGTTATGAATATAGCCTACCATTTCTGCCAATAGATGTCCAACACTGCACCTCCAAATGCAATTCAATTGAGCACAAAGAAAACAGTACATAAATCGCCAGAAGCATGTTTCTCATTTACAGATTATTTCAAAAACCCTGCCCTGAAAAATACAAAATTTCCATTCATATTCATGATTAAAAATGTGATACTAAAGGGTGAATTTTAAATCTCATGTATGTGCGGAGGGATCTACAAGCAGTTTAGGGCAGAAGGTTACATTTCCATGAGGTTTGAAACTGAAATATGTCCATTCGGTTGGCCGCACCGCGCTCCTAAACGGAGTCAGCGAAATAAAATTAAAACCTTTTAATTCGCTCCGTTAAACACAAATTTTACGTCCACGGTAGAGAGGCCTGGTTTATAGCACTTCAGGAAACAGGTAGGGCTGAGGCGTTTGCAACAAAAAATGCTAACGTCAGTCAACTGTCAACCGAGTTCGGATATCAGTAACGTTAGCTAACACCTTAGCGGCTAGCTCAGGGACCGTTGGCCCGGACCAGAGTTTACCTCTCCTCCGCCCTTCCTACTTGGTAACCGCAACTCTAACTCTCCACTCCAGGCCTCAGATAATTTTGGGACTTGGAAAACCAAACAAAGTTTACAGTTTCACCTTGTCCGTTTCTTCAAAACAAGACCCAGCACTGGTTAAGGTACCGTTTAAGCTAGGCTAGCTGTGTAGTGCCCGGGCGTCACCATAGCAACCCCACATCCTTCTAAAGACCCTACGCAGGTGCTCTAACGACCTGAGAGGTAACGGTTTCCTGGGACGATTCAACACCGACATTTCGCACCCAAAGTTACTGTAATGGTAAGTTCAGTTTATTCTTTTTAACCATTGTCATTGTTTAGTTTCACACTGTGTCTTTGGGTTGTTTTGCCAACATTAAATATGTACGTGTTTGGATACATACAGTCAGGGGGTCCGTAGCTGTCCGGTGTGTGTTGGTGGTTGATTTGGTTGTATTTCAATGTCAGTGTGCTTTATTGCCAAGTTACCCAGTAATTCTTGTTCCTAAATTGTGTTGCTCATGCTTAACAGCCTCTCTACCATATTAATTTAGTGGCTGTCTTTCAATTGAATTACACGGTCTTCCTCAGCATGAGTTGCAGAATTGTCATGCAAATATAGGTTTGTTACATATATATGTTGGTATACAATTAAGATTAAAAGTCAATTCTTAACTTTTGAAACAATAACTAGTTAGCCAGGTTAACATTTTCACCACAAGACCCATTTAGGCTAGTACTAGTGGCGCAGTAGCTGGATATTTGCACGACAGTTCGGCAACTCCATCAGTTAAAATTTATTGTGTGCTGCAAATTAGAGCTCCAGAACAGCTGCTAAATTGGCTTTGTGTTGAGATTGTTTGGTACAGTTTCCAAGAGCTCAACAGGCATTGTGTTGCTACTGCTTGTTTTGTGTTGTTCAAGTCAACTAAATCAGTGAGAGAATAGATGAAAATCTCTTGTTTGTATTTTATAACCAAACTGTCTAAACTGTCATATGACTTATCTTCTTAACTTACCACACTTAGACCCACTAAGTGTGTGGTGGTGTATTTCTCTGTATAGACTCTGTCCTCTGCCCACATTTTTGTATGTTCTTATTTTCTGTGTTTGGGACATCGATGGGCATATACCTCCACAGTACGCATGTGAGCTTGGAGCTTTATAATAATGCAGAGATCAGGTGCCAGACTGTAAGCAGCCGCCATCCAAGTGACCCAGTGCTATGAGAAATGCAAATATAGTGAGGCGAAATGCCTAACAAGAATGAATCAGGGGTTGGCTTTTACTTTAACTTTTGCTGGTGAGTGTGCTTACAAACAGTAACCAACAATCCAGCGTAGTATACCTTTAAAATGCCCATTCCTATTACGTGTGTAACATCTTTGGAAACCTGCCCCCAAGAATTCTAAATAAAGGTTTGTGGGTTTGAACGATGTTAAGCTGCAGAGCATGTATTGATTCATCCACATGCAGTTTGCTGCTTGTTAAGTGTTAAATTTCTCTGGTGGTGTTCTTCTGTGGCCAGCAGAGCAACTCCCTGTTGTGAATATCTAGCATTGTATTCCCAAATAAATTAAGATTAAATTAGTAAATTCTGACTCAGTAGAGGAAATCGAATGCATGCTTTTTCTTACATTTAACATCCAGATACAACCAGTCAGACTTCCCCATGCCAATCTCATTGGAAGCGATGCAGGAGAGAGAAGTATCTCGGGTGATGTTGTTGAAGGTCATTTTTCTCTCAGGTGAATTTATTTCCTTGTTCTGACCCGTCTCTCTTTTGAGCCATATGTAAGCGTGTGGTTGTGGGTTAGAGTTAGCAGTACACTCCACGGTAATGCTGCCACTTTCCATTACCATTTTACCTTCCAGTATAAGAGTCACAGTCACAGGTTCATCTGGGAATAAAGGAAATCATAACACACAATTATAATAGTAACATATCTGGCAAGTAAATGTACTTCAGCCATTTACTGTATTTGAACAGGCACTGTTTCACTTACATAAAATGTTGAGTGGTATTTGTTGACTTTCTGCGTTGAATGCTCTGAACTTCGCAGAACACCACATTTTGCTGTTATGCATTTCATATGTTGCCAGTCCATGAAGTGTCTCTGTGTATGACCATTGTCCCTTTACGTCCTCATTGAAAGCCATTACAGTGTAGTTTTTCAAAAATGGACTTAGGGGCCATTGAAGGGATGGAGGTGAGAAAGGGCAGGAATAACTTACGCTGCAATTAACCCAGAAAATTTCCCCATCCACTATTTTCTTCTGAATGGAGATTATGGGGGTTTTTCTCTCTGGAAGTCAAAATAAAGAAACAATGGAAAAAACATAGAGAAAATTTAATTTTTCTTTTATTTCTAGATTAACAGTTGTATAAATAAGATGTGCTACATAACAGAAATGCTGTATGTTAAATTAATAAGGGACGGGTGGTAAGATTTCTTCTTTACTTAGACCACAGCTTGGGTAAGGTGTAAAGATTGCTGTGTTTAGGAGGAATTGCTATTTTCTTTTACAGTATGGTAGAGTGTATTTCTGTTAATGAATGTAACCTGTAAATTGCTAAATTGTGAAATTTTGCATTAAGGCTTGGATTTCCTGAATTTAATTCAGGTTTACAAATGCTTACTTACCAACAATGATCGTTACAGTTTGGTCATAGAATTTCTGATTTGATTTAGAGTCTGGGTCGATCCAAACATAAACCCGCAGGTTGTTGTCTGCGCTCTTCACTTTGTCAATCACCAGGGTGCAGTTGCCCTCCGCAGCTTCACCCGTTACTGAGGTGCGTCCTCTGAACTGGTCTTCCACTGAAGCTGGGTGATGCCCATCATACACCACAGGATATATTACGCTATGGTACCGATACCAGGTGACCTGAGAATGAGGTTGTGTCTTACATGGCACCACAACACAGCTCCCCTCAACTGCAGTAATTGTTGTGGGTACATTGATGGTCCAGCTTCTCGCCTGCTGGAGCACAGAGATGCCTTTGTGGGGCAGGAGGAGTTTCATGGTACACAACATTAGTAGCAGTTCTGTTATTTGATGTTATTTTTGTGGATAAATGAGAAAATATAATACGTGACAGTCAACTGGAAATTCATTTGCACAGAGAGATATTACTATGAGAGCTGAATAACCACAAAGCTGAGTTTACTGCAGTATTTATAGCTTTTCACCATACCAGAGTGACCTAAAAAAAAAAAAAAACCTGACTTCTCAGAAACAAAGTTAAAATATTGCTGTAAACATACCATATTGAACTCCAAAAATATACAATTATCAGTTTCCTTAAAGAAGAATATATTATTTTACAACATATTTTAGCCTTTTTCCTATATGCGGATATTGCAAATAGTGTTCATAAAAATATGTGGTGACACTGCAACATGCATTTCAATGGTTATGACTTTGTTTTAGATACTGAAAATAAAAAGTACTACACGCTTCACATAATAATTTAAATAATAATGAAGGGCATCAGTAATCACTATATTCATTTTTTGTACTTGAGAATTATGCAGTTTGGAAACTGCCTTTTACTTTTTCCCCAATGTAGGCCAAACTCGTAGAAGATCTCTTAGCTATAGTCCTTTTTAAAATGACACAAATATTTGAAATATTAGCTTATTGTGTTATATTTTTATGTTTAACATGTTACCTAGGAAAAAGACAGAGATAAAAACAGATAAATCTCATTATTACCGGTAAACAAGCTTAGCAGTCTAAGCAGATGAGCAGTCGCCATGAAGAAAGTAGTCGCTGTACACCTTTCAGTTTGTCACCTTTTGACCTCTTAATGTCTGAAACACAGCAGCTGTAACAATATTACAACAATTAGACTATGTTGGCTTTGTGTTGTTTAATCTCTGCACATTACTATGCTCTTTTACACTGTTACACAGGAAACTGTTAAAAATACTGTGCAGATGTTTCATGGTGAGTCAGATATCAGTCATATATTATTAAGTCACAATGCCACTGCAAATCATCTAGAAGAGTCATTTATTCACGCTTGAAGGCCCCCAAGTGCCTCTAGCTTCGCCAAAGTACAAAAAAAGGTTTGCTTAATTTCCAGTTAATACCAACCACAGACTATTATTCTCTAACATTAAACAAAAAAGTCATACTATTAAGGAAGCTTTAAGAATCTGTAAAATAGTCTATGGATTAATCTTTTTCTTTGACTGATATGGCTTACCTTGCCTGACAAGCATGAATCTGTCTGCAATGGCCCAGTGATGTGTAACTGTGCATGCTCAAGTCCACCTTTTTACCACAACCTAATCCCCTCGACAACCCCTCTGTTATATTCAGTCTTAAACAGGAAACTTGCTGAGGTCATTTAAAGCAGTCAGCCTGAACGGTGAGAAAGCCTGAAGAGAGGCTCTCTGGCTTGTTTCTAAAATCTGATGTACTAAACACCCGACCACTTGTTGTGCAGTAAATGTTTGAAACGGTGTAGCAAAGGTGAGGTGCATTAAAATATAAACTGAATTAAAAAATAGAGATTAAATGAAATGTTCTGGCTTGACCGAATAAGCACATGCATCTCTAGACATAAAGAAGAATAAAGAGACTGTTTTGCAAAAAAAAATCTTTATTGGTTTCTATTCATGTTTTTATTACAACAGCTGGCTTAGTTTGAACAAAAAGCAAGTGTTAAAATAATAAACATAATATGTCACACTGCAGAAAATACTAAACAGCACAGCCTCCCTCACTTTTTTATTATTATTTTTCAGTATTTTTAATTGTTATGTATTAGCAACCTGGTCTCATTCCCAGGGCATTAGATGCATCAACATGGTGAGCAGCCCTTGGCTTCTGTTACCAATGCACAAGTTACCCTACAGCATCTGTATTGGACGGCACAGGCTGTCAACTAACTCCAGTGTAATATAGGGCTGCAACGATTAGTCGACTAATCGATGACTAAACGACTATTAAAATAATCTGTGACTATTTTAGTAGTCGACTAAGTAGTCGGTTGGAGTCATTTTTCATAGAAAAGTACTATAAAAGTACCCCAAAATACTCTTACTGCACACACACACACACACACACACACACACACACACAAAAAGTTAAACTCTGTTAGTAGCTGCGCATCATCAAAATAAAACCTTTATGACTGGACTCTGTGGGAATTTAATTTGAAAGGACAGACATTGTATTTATCTATTTGTATTTATTTTGTTTAATATGCACTGTCGCTCTTCACAGACGAAGTTCCTAATGGAAAAATAAAGTTTATTGAATTGAATTAAAAAGGCCACGTTCAGCATTCAGACAGGAGTCACGTTACAAACCAATCACAGCCGACAGATATCTTTCCCTTCTTCTGTAAATGTCAGGCTGTGATGAACATGAAGATCAGCTCTGCACTTGGGATTTCAGGTAAATAGGCTATGAGACACAACCTGCCACCATGCTCTTGAAAGGTGGCACAAAAAAGACACAAAAGTGTGCCCAGCGGGTAACTCGGGTATTCCAGGCAGTTGAGGATACCCCTGATTTACAGGGCTGGTACCTGTGGTTATTACACAGGATAGTTAATAACATGTCGGGCAGGAAGATTCTTAGTTGGGGGTGCAGCCCTATTTTGTCCAACCATGTAATGTGATATAGTGATAGTGTGACATATCTGTCAAATGACACATTTGTTTAGTGACATTGTTATTTTAAAGGAAATGACCACTTTAGAATGAAAATACAGACAGTACTTACTCACCCTCATGCCGACAAGAAGTCCAGTGTAGTTTTTTTAATCCACAAAACTCGTTCGGGGTATCAGAGGATAACAGCTAGCCGGATTTTTCCATACACTTGAATGCATGGAACCCATGTCCAAAATCATTTTGAAAATGTAATAAAACTCCACTAATGCATTTCAAAAATGTCAGAAGGGCTCATCCGTCGTAATCCAAGTGCCCTGAAGCCGTGGCATGCAAAATTGACTTGAAAAGACATAATTTACTCCACTTTTATAGCAAAATTTCTCACCCTGGTCAGTTAGCCTGCAGGCGTGCTGTGTTTACATGGCAACTCTCGAGACTCGAGAACAAGAACGTCTCTGAACGTTCTCGAGTCTCGCGCGTTCATTTTCAAAATGACTTTGGACGTGGGTTCCATGCACTTCAAGTGTATGGAAAAATCCAGCTAGCTGTTAAAAAACTACGCTGGACTTCTTGTCTGCATGAGGGTGAGTAAGTACTGTCTGTATATTCATTCTAAAGTGGTCATTTCCTTTAACCCAAACAATGATAGTTTTTCTACCTAACCAAGTAGGTTTTGTGGGGAAAACATCTTGTTGCCTAAACCCAAAGAAGTTTTGGCGGCGATACCTGTGTTTCCGATGAAGACAGAAGTTTATTTTGAAAGACACTGTAGCATGTAATGAGAGGAAATTGACATGGAAACTGAAACGTCTAGAAACAATGCCGGAGGGGTACCTAGAGCGTCATAGTTTGAAGCTGAGGGCCACTGACCAGGCTGCTGAATTTAACAATTCAGGTGGATGTGTTGGCATGAACATAGTAGAAATTGAGAAAAATGTTCATTATTATTATTGTTAATATTATTATGCACTTAAAATGTGAATGAATAATCTGTCAAGCACTTAAAAACTCCCTGAACTTAAAGAAAAGAAACATACTTCCACCAATATAAAGAAAACATATGTACAAGAAAGCAAATCATTTTTCGAAACTTGGCACAGCAATATAGAACTGTGATCTATTTGTGCATAGGACGCTTGTCTTTAAATTTAACTTGGGCATATTCACCTTCCACTTCCTTCTCCACATTTCTAGGCTTCACTTTGTCATATAGGCATTCCATCTCCAGTGCATTGCTCACAAAATCTCTGCCCATGCCTCCCACTATGCACCTCTCCTCCTCCAGATAGGAGCTACCAGGCTGATTCATGTTCAGAGAGTCGTCTCCTTTCTTCTTCTTGCTCTTGGTCTTCCAATTCACAGCAGAGTAAATCACATCATTGCCCTCCTCATTTTTCTTCTCTGAACTTTCACTGGCCCCTTCTGCATTGTTTTGTCCAGAGCTTGGCAAGTTGGTGCTGTTTGGCTCAGAGATAGTTTCCGGCTGGGCCACATCTGCCTGTCTCAGCTCACTGGTGTTTACATAGATGTCCTCCTCTGTTGTGTTGGGTACCTATACAGTTAAAGAGAAAACATCAGTGGTCATATACTGTGCTAATCCAGTTTAATTACATGAAGTAGAAACCTGCTCGGCTCTAAGTCAAAGTACCTGATTGTCCTCTCCATTTGATAGAAGTTGGCTCGTAGTAACTGTGCTGGTGTCACCTCTGCGCTGACTCTTAAGAAGGTTATAGTGAGTCTTCAAATTCCTGAAAAATACAGTAGAACTTTTAATTTATACGTGTATATTTGATTCATCTTGATTTGTCATTTATTCAGTGTGTTTTTTTTTTTTAGTTGTTCCAAATGAGTAGAGGCTAATGGGACTGCATGCAGCTGCCTCTATCTTGAGTTTGTTCTGATAAGTTTGGTATAAAAAAGTTATCTGATGCTATAGGTTTGATGTCATGATTGACAGCTGTGTGTGCCAATCAGTGTGCTCACGATCAAAGGCGCTGCTAGCCATTGGTCAGATGGCGGGAACTCAGTATTGCGTAAATCTATACAGCACAGACTCTGGCTCCAAATGACATCACCAGTGCAGATGGCAGCTGCTGTTTTCAGAATATTTTGGCTCAATATTTTTTACAGTGGGAAGAAGTGGAGATGCATTGTCTATCCTTATAAACTGTCCTTGATGGGCATATTCATGTACTTCATGAAGGCTAAACTAACACTCCATCTCTTAAACACTTCCTTGATATTGACACGTATTATATTTTGTTTATTGCCAGACTTTATTTTAGACTCTGTTTTTGATAAGTCCATCTTCCTTTTTGGGTTGCTTTGCAGTGTAGACAGCTGTTGTCAGAGCCAGAATAGCAACTTTTCTGTAGGATTCTCCACCATTGAATTAGAGACATTTAATTGAAACGCCCTCTCTCTCTCTTCTAAAGCCTAAAAACAGAGCCAAGTGGGGGTGCAAATGTCTAGTTTTCTCCCACTTCCCACTTGAATTACAATATACTGGATGTTTATTATGGAATTTCTGCCCACTGGTGCCAAAAAAACTGTCTACCCCAGCTTTAAACTCTGCTGTAACTTTCATAACACTGCCAGCCATTGAAACTATGTTATCAGAGAATAGTCTTGAAAGTACTTTAATACCATTCACTAGTGTTGGAAGTGGATTTACCTAGTTTGAAGACTGTAACTTGTTGCTTTTGAACCTCGTGTGGTCTCCCAATAAAGCCAAAAAGCTAAGTGTCAAATTTGTTCTGATGGAACAGAAATCAAAGGCTGCATAGTGTCAGTATTTGCGCTCACTTACAGAGTTAAAAAAAAAAAAAAAAGTCCAAGTAACAATAACTGTTATGTGTTGCATTTTTGTGTCTTGTGCTATTACTCTACCTGATGACAAACAGAAGAGCACATACTATGACTAGTAGTGCGCCAACTATGGTGATGAAGACTGGCAACGTCACTGGATCTGGAAGTACAAGGGACAATAGAAGATTAGGAATAAGAAGTAATTCAGACAAGAAATAGTTCTCTAAAACTTTGGTCATAGTGTAATAAGAATTCTTCTTGCTGAGTCTATACTTCAGGTGCTTTTAACACACAAAAAAGTAAGTTCTTACTCATTTCAACACGATTATGGTCAAAAAGATAATCACGGAGAAAATGGGGACAAAATATTTCTTAATGCGCTTTCATGTGAAAGTAATCTGAGGACTGCTGTCACCTTCATGTTGTGCTACATTCATACTAATTAACAAATCTTAAAATAAGACAAACTAAGGTTCCTTTCACCTGAATTGAGTGCATCATGGATGGGCTACGTGTCTGCCCCTGTATTTTTTCAGAGGATTCAGTAAGGTAACGTCAGCTGCATTATCATAGCAATAGAATTACACTCATTCTATTTCCAGCACAATGATTTCTGTTTTGCCTGTCTGCAGTGGCAACATTTAGGAAAGTTTTTCAAAGGCTGCCACTGAAGGGTGAACATGTAGCGAACAGAGCTGATCACAGCTGATCGTGTACATTTGATTGTGGGAAACCAAAATCGTGATCATGATTAATATTTGATCAATTGTGCAGCCCTAATTTCTACCTCTTTCTTTTTTCAAGAAAGGTGTATCTATGAGTAAGAAGTGTGTTAAAGTAACAAAAATAAAAGTAAAATAAAAATAAAAATCCACGTTTTTTTTAAACACATTAGTCATCTCTAATGATTACATTTGTTTTGAGTCATTTCAAAAGCAACATCATAAACATGCTACATAACAGGAAGTGGGGTGTTTTAATACCTTACAGAGTGACACCAAATATTTCCACACTCTCTCTCTCTCTCTCTCTCTCTCACACACACACACACACACACACAAATTTGAAATGTTCCAGAATTTGTCAAAACATCAACACTGCTTTTATAAACCAGTCTTTCCTATTAAGGCCCTCTTATTCTCTCTTTTTTTGCACATCTAGCTCATTTACAGTGCCATTGTTTAGTGAGTGTCATTCTTTTACTAGCTAGCTGCTCTCACCAGTCACATACCCATTTCAAGCTATATACTTCCTAAAAAAAAAAGAAGAAATGGGTGGCACCACAAACGTTACTAATAAAAGAAGATGACATTGATGAGAAAGCTGCAGACACAAGCAGTCAATAAGAACACTGAACACTAGTATGGGCAGTTATGCCAAATGACCCTGGCCCTTACCTCTTTACTGCCCACACTGAACACTAGTATGGGCAGTTATGCCAAATGACCCTGGCCCTTACCTCTTTACTGAAGCCATTGACTGTTTTATGTATTGTTTTTTATTTTTACAAGAACATGCACCTGTATAGCATTGCTCCAATTAGATGGATGATACCAATACTGGCAGCAATTAGCAACTATAATTTTTAGAAAGCTTAGCGGCTTTTAGCGAACCAATAACATTTTTTAATCAGTAAAACAGACCTTGACTTTGTGCAGATGTTTGAGGCTCAATGCTGTTGACGCAAAAATGTCGACTGGCAGATCCAAGAGAGTTGGAGCTGCGGCAGAGCAGGGTGGAAAGATTTTTCTCCTGTGGTTGATCCACAGTAAGGTTGCTCGTCAGACCTGTGTCACTTAGGTTGCTTATTGCAAAAGAGTGATTGACAGGTGACCCGTCCAAATACCACTGTAAAGTGGGAGAAGGATTTCCCACAGTCCTGCAGGAACATCTGAGCTGGGCTTCAGCTATGGTACAATGAGATGAGGGCAGGATCTGTGGGGAAACTGAAACACATGTAGAGAAAACAGACTTTAGAAGGTTAGAGTCAAATAAAGAAAAATTTAATCAAGTTTGCAAAAATTAAATACAAAATGTACTGATAGAAAAATAATTGTTGAAAAGTGATGCAAATGAAATGTTCCATTACTACAGGAATAATGAACTGACCGAGTTAACTAGTAACATATGTATTTATCTGTTCAAGTATTTATAATTTTGTCCCATATTGTCTTCTATACAGATAAGGGACTGTGGAAACATGGACTAAATTTGGCAAATTTATATCAATGCATAGTTAAAAAAATAAAGAATTAATTATATCACTTAGAAACCGATCACAGCATCAACTGGGAGTCAGAGCCATTGACAAGAACTCAGTTGATAGATGTAGAAAGATCAAGGAGGCCACCACATCGGACACCAAAGACCATACATGAACAGTCATGGTTTTAATCTTCCTCCATATGCAGTTGCATGTTATCACATGACCAAAGTTCCTTACTGTTTTGTCTCCTCCTTTTGAGGGAAGATCAAATATTAGAAACATCTCTTAGTGTGAAGTTTAATCTCTCTATAAGTGTTTATTTAAATAAATATGTATAATACAATGTCACATTAAGTCTTAATAGAGACTGAGTAATAAAATGTCTAAATTAATGCAGTGAATAATAGGGTTGGGAACGATTAACCGATACGACCGGATATCCGGTTTGACAAGCGAGAGATACGGCTACGTCGGTAGCAGCCTCCTCAATCGATACGAATCAGCCATGAATCCTTAGATGAATCGATTGTAGAGTCATGGATTCGGGTATCGCGAGACTAGCAATCGGTTGACTGACTTTAACAGTTTGCATCTCGAAAACAAC